TTCCTTGCTGCTGATCATAAGTTGGGAGTAATATTTGATTGCTAATGGATCGTAAGGATACTTCAGGATTCGTTAGTGGGGGTGGGATGTGTTCTTGTGGACACATCTAACCCTAGTTTACAATTAACTTTTCTTAAGCCCGGGAGTCAGGTTGACTGTTCTTTTTCAATTGAGATTTGGTTCAAATAGAAGTTTTTATACCAGCTATTAGTTTATGGATCCGAGATTCCGCTATGTGGGGTTTACCGTTAACCCTCAGTTAAGTGCATTCAAGAATCTGGGCAAATCCATCGCAGTTGGTGAAGCTGGAGTTGGGGGTAGTTATTGTGCTGATACCACCTTACGGCTTGATTCAATTTGCTCTTCAGTTCCGTCCATCCCTGCCCCAAAAGGAATCAAACGAAAATGGAGTTCACTTGGTGTATCTAACGATCAGCCAATTGGTTCATCTTTGTGTCTACGTTTAGGACATTCATCAAGTTCGTCAGATAGCAAGGGGAGCTCAGGTGCTGCATGCACTTCTATATGCTCAGCAATAGAAAATGATGAAGAGTCCTCAATGGACCTGGACTTAGACTTTAGTCTCCATCTTGGTAGTGAGAAGACTTCAAGCTCTAGAAAGTCTACTCATCCTGAGTCCAAAAAACTTGCCAAAGGCCTTGCAGTTGATCTGGAACTAAGTCTCTCTAGTGGTGCTGCTGAATCTGATGTCACCACTGTGCATTTGCTCTCCACTTCACCACAAAGTATCATGAAGGCGCCGCAGGAGATGACTGGAGCTTTTCACACTGATGAAGTATCAACAGCTGTACATTGGAAGCCCAGCGACATTTTCCATCCATTACGAACTTCACAGGGAACTGAGGCTAGTTATTTATTGAACCAGGATGCAACACAATTCAAGCAAGCTACAGTCTCCCCAAATCTGTCGTCAAGTATAATCACAAATTCAAAGAGCTCAGTCACCTGTACTTCCGGGTTAACAAACCAGCAGCAACAACAACAGCAACGTAGCAGTAGTACTAAACAGTGTCAGTTCAAGGGATGCGTAAAAGGAGCAAGAGGTGCTTCTGGCCTTTGCATCGCCCACGGTGGGGGCCGCAGGTGTCAGAAACCAGGCTGCCACAAGGGAGCCGAGGGTCGGACTGCATTTTGCAAAGCCCATGGGGGTGGTCGTCGATGTGAATTCTTAGGTTGTACAAAGAGCGCGGAAGGACGCACCGACTTTTGCATTGCGCATGGGGGTGGACGTCGTTGCAGTCATGAAGGATGCAGCCGTGCTGCAAGAGGGAAGTCTGGATTATGCATTCGGCATGGTGGGGGGAAGAGATGCCAGCATGAGGGCTGTACCAAAAGTGCAGAAGGACTCTCTGGTCTTTGCATTTCACATGGAGGTGGCCGGCGCTGTCAGTACCCCCAATGCACTAAAGGAGCCCAAGGAAGCACCATGTTTTGCAAGGCACACGGTGGTGGTAAGCGCTGTACCTTTGAAGGATGCAATAAGGGGGCAGAGGGGAGCACAGCTTTCTGTAAGGGTCACGGTGGTGGCAAGAGATGTTCATTCCAAGGAAATGGGCTCTGCCCGAAGAGTGTTCATGGGGGGACACTCTTCTGCGTGGCCCATGGTGGTGGCAAGAGGTGTGCTGTGGCAGAGTGTACCAGAAGTGCAAGGGGAAGAACTGATTTTTGTGTACGCCATGGTGGTGGAAAAAGATGCAAAGTTGATGGCTGTGGGAAAAGTGCTCAGGGAAGCACTGATTTCTGCAAAGCCCACGGCGGAGGGAAGAGATGCTCTTGGGGTCAGCCTGATTCTGAATTTGGCCAAGGTGATGGTCCTTGTAACTCATTTGCTAGAGGGAAGACTGGACTTTGTGCATCTCACGGTGCTCTCATTCAAGACAAACGCGTCCACGGAGGTGCCACTCTTGGGACTATAGTCCTGGATCTAGCGCCAAACCAGTCTGAGAAAATAAAGGAGATTGTTAACGTGGAAGACATCTGTTTTGATGTCACGAAAATGCAGAGTATTGGTATGACATCCAGCAATGACTCTCACATGAAATATCTTGGATTTAACCAACCCAACGTTCCAGTCGCAGGCAGCTCATCATCAGTTTCTGAAGGAAGGGTGCACGGAGGAGGTTTGATGGCATTACTAGCAGGCGGTTCTGGCCGTACCTCAAACAGCAGCAAGGAACCAGTTACTGCATCTGAGCCAGGGAGTTCTTTCATAGTCTCTAAGAATAGGATGCATGTATAGCCACACTATTTCTCAATTTGGTTTGCAGGTCTGCATCGCTCCACCGCTATGTTTGTGTCCTCTTTCATTTTAGTTTCTTATGTTATATTGGGTTTGAACTGGAACTGCTACTGCTAAATGTATCTGTATCAATAAGGGGAGAAACCCCACTAGGGTCATTGGTATTTGTACATACCTTTCTTTTCATGTAACATTTGGTCTTGTGAATATTTCGGACTTGTTGTAGTACAACTTTTAGTAGTTTTTCATTCTGGAGTTTGATATTTGCTAAGTTTGATTGTCAATCTTTTGAAGTTTCTAACAGCCATCAACGTGCCACCTAATATGAAGCGCATGGATACTAAGTTATATCTCGAAATTGTATTGTATACTGTTAGCAACCAATAAGTACAATACACATCGAACAATTTGTTAGAAAGAATACTTAATATAGTATGTGTATATACCTTATTTGAATAACTCCCATTCTAAGGTTAATTATAATATAGTATGTGTGTATGTATACCTTATTTGAATAACGCTCATTCTAAGGTTAACTTATCAATTATGATAGTTTGTGTCGAGTCATTTTCTTGAAAGCGACTTTTATTATGTTTTGGCCACGTCCCTTTTCGCTCCGAAGAAGAAGGTTTGGATCTTTCAATCTTATGTCGTGAGGTATGTGACCTATGTTAGGTCCATAAGATACCCTTCTGTTCCACACGAGATTTCTGTTCTCTCATCTTAGGACACCTGCGTTATCTTTTAACAGATGTGCCGCCCCAGCCAAACTCCCCACCTGACAATGTCTTCCGCCCGGATCGGCCCGCGAAGCGAGCTTTGGGTCCAAAAATAGGGGCAGTGCCCCGCTTTCGATTCACGAAATAAGTAAAATAACGTTAAAAGATAACGCAGGTGTCCTAAGATGAACTCAACGAGAACGGAAATCTTGTGTGGAACAGAAGGGTAAAAGCTCGTTTGATTCTGATTTCCAGTACGAATACGAATCGTGACAAGTGGTATCAGAGCACTGGGCAGAAATCGCATTGCGTAAGAAAGCGATTTTAATAAAAGGAAAATATTTGTACTTTAAAAGTGCTCTAAATGGCATTTTTCTTCCCGACTTTTGGTATTTAAACACAAGTCAAATAAGTAGGTGAAATAAATGGACCCTCAAGCTTTTTTTCTTTTTCTTTTTTCATCACCAACAAAAGACCTGTTAATGTTTATAATGCCGATATAATTTGAAGGTAAAAGATTAGAATATGAGCAAGGAAATAGTATTTGTGTTGTCATTAATATTTGAAAAAAAAAATTTGGTAAGAATTAATTAAAAGCATAGGTGGATTTATGTAAAAAAAAAATTAAAAGACGAAATTGTTAAATAGAAAAAAAATAAAATAATATATATATATATATATATATATATATATATT